TTTTGCCTTCTGGGAAACAATTACTATGGGTCACACAAATAATTGTCCCGTGTGAGAATCGAACCCACCCCAAAGGCAATGCCTTGACAACTGCACCATGGTCAGTGATCAAGCGAGTTGTATTCGCGAAATAAACAAAATTTTGTCTGGCTCAGACAAAATCTTGTTTATATTTATTACACCCAGTGACGATCTCAACTTGAATTATGTGCCTTTGTAGAGAAGTTACGTTTATGTGAAGTTAAATTTATATGAAGTTGAAAATGGAATCCGCCATTGCGCGGAATTTTATATGCAGAAAGGCGCCACTTGCAGTCTCCACCGTCGACCACGTCGTAGGAATGCGCGTAGAACTCGTAAACCTGGTCAAAGTGCTGTGGTCATGTTTAGATCAGGCAGGCTTTGATCGGGAACGAGGGCCTTGCCTTTATTAAAGAGAAAGCCTCTATAAAAACCCCCAATCTCAAGCGGTGAGGGCAGCGCAAGGAGATGCATGGTTGAGGGGTTGTCAATCACTACTGCTACTCGATGCCTGGGTGTATGTAGGCTTATCCAGGTACAGGTCGGACTCCTCCATCATGTCGGTTGCTTCGGCTAAATCAACGGCCTCTCAAGTGAGCAGAAAACGGAGTAAGGCAAAACAACAATCTCCAGGAGAACTAAAAGCGCCGGAGCCGAAACGCCAAACGACAGTGTCGAAAGGTTGGAGAACGCCGTATTGCGTTCTCAAATCGCTGAGCTTACGGCGAAAGTTGGCAAGTTGAAAGAGGAGCTCAGTTTTTTACGAAAAACAGAACAATGTAATGCGCACCCAAGCCACCCCTTTGTATGACGGAAGGAGAATTCGAAAGTCGGCTGACTGAGCGCATTAGCTTTCTCATCGATAAAAACCTGATAGATTTCGTTGGGCAAGGAACGATGAAGAAGTCGGAACAGTGCCCATCATCATCAGGAGGACCTGATGCAAAGCGCATTCAGGGCGATCAACCTAAGGGCTCCACTTCTTTCGAGCATATAACGGAAAGTGAACGGCCATCGCAACCTTGGGCGGTAGTGCTGAGTCACAAAGCCAAGAGGGTGGCTACGAGTCAGAAGACCTCGTCACAAAAAGAGCCTGTGTCTCAGAAAGTCCCAGGGAAAGAGTCGGTCCCAAAGCCAGCTATGAAAGCACCAAAGCCGTGAAGGTTGCCCAGCTCAGCAGCCATAACGGTCACTGTGCCAGAGCATAGCGAGAAATTGTATGCGGAAGTCATGGCAGCAGCTAGCTAAAAGGTGAATCTGTCGGACTGTGGCGTCCAAACAGTCCGAACGAGGAGAGCTGTTATTGGGGCCTTGAAACTAGAGGTCATTGGAACTGACAGCGCTGCTAAGACCGACAAGCTGGCTGACAAAATGCTGGAAGCTCTTGCCGAAATGAACGTGTACATCGCACGGCTAGTGAAAACTGGCGAACTAAGGGTGATGGATTTAGACGAATCGATCACTTCAACAGAAGTTACAGCTGCGGTGGCTGAAGCGGGAGGCTGTTTCGTCAAGGACATATAGGTTGGTGAAATACATCGGAAACCATTGCGTTTGGGGTCCACATGGATACAATGCACACTTACGGTGGTTCGTAAGCTGGCGGCAGCTAAAAGTGTCCGTATAGGGTAGACTGCTGTTAGGGTACAGGTGCTAGCACAACGGTCATTGCAGTGCTACCGGTGCCTTGAATCGGGTCACGTACGCAGCAGGTGCCCCAATAAAGTGGACCTGGCCACAAGGCCATTGAATTCAAAGCAGGAGTCCTGAAGTGTCCACTTTGTATGGATCTTAGACGTCCGGCTAGCCATCGATTGGGAACAAAAGATTGTGCATCCAAAGGGAAGACACAAGGTAGGGGGAGTAAGCAGGATCCGCCACCTATGGGCACGTGTGCCCCGGAGGCTATGGATGCTTCACCTTCAACAGAAACGTGAAGCTCCTCCAAACCAACCTGAACCACTGACGCACGGCACAGGACCTGCTACTGCAAACCGTCGCGGAGTGGTCTGTTGCACTGACGATTATAGCGGAGCCATACTGGATCCCGGAACACCTTCGCTGGTTTGGTGACGATGGAGGCTCCGTGGCGGTTTATTGGAGTGGTGACAATTGGGACCCTTTCTGTTCATTGATGGCAAGGTTACGGGGCTTCGTTGCTGTCAAATAGGGTACGTTGACTGTGGTAGGTTGCAAGATATCTCCCAATTGCAACCTCGCTACATTTGAGGCGTACCTAGATCAAGTAGGACCTGTTCTTATCCTGGGAGACTTCAACGCTCATTTTAAAGTATGGGGTCTACCCGGGACAATGCAATGGCAGGAACCTGGCAGTGTGGGCGGCAGGACTAGACCTCCGTCTCTTAAATCGAGGTTCTGTGAGTACATGTGGGCGGTGGCAAGCGGAATCGATTGTGGACTTATCGTTGGCCACGGGATAGTAGTGAAGGAAGTAGTCACATTATCTGACCACCGCATTTGATGTGGCACTCTGCCGTTTTAATCATTTTCGGTCCGGAAATACCGCTGATGGAAACTCTTTCCACAAATTAGTTGTGCGTGGCAGAAAATGAAAAACGCACAGTGGCGGACTGCCAACCATCGAGGTGGCAGTACGTGGTATTTGGCAGTACGAATCCCAATCTGCGCTTTGTAAAGCTTTGCCTCAATCAACCTAGAACACCAAGCTTCTTAGATGCCACTTTGGCTTTCTCTTCTAAGTGAACGAAAAAATGAACGCAGCTCGATATGTCAACACGGATTTCAATCAAGTCTGAGACAACAACGAGAGTACCGTAACGCACCAGTAACGAAAGAAGTGCTCCGTGCTAAATTCGGTTAAAGGTTATTGCTACATACAAACTTACGACCAATCCCTCATTCTATGTCTCAAATCTACCTCTGCCCATCAATGAGTTAGGTAGACCAGAAGAATACCAGCTGACTGGACCAGACGGAAACCCTACTGACGATCATCTCATCTGTCAGCTGGTGCTCCTCGAGGTAGCTCTGGAGCACATGTCCTCAGCATAATTCACGCAACAGCTTCGACTATTGCACGAATATGCATGTCCGTCTGGGTAAGTATCATGAACTCACAGAAGACCGGCGTGAAGTAAACCTTAGTCTGGTAAATGAAGTAGCCGGGGCCCACTTTATTAAAAAGTGACAACGCATCTGCAACCCTACGGGTGTTGCAAATGTCCATGGGTGGTAGTTATAACTTAACATCAGTTGAACTGACAACTCACTTCCTTTGCATCAACCAATAGTGATTCGTATGAGCTCAATAATGCAAACATTATCATCAAAATGTAAACACAGACAGAGTAGATTGACATGATACGTGCCAAAAGATTTTCTCCCGATATTCGTTGTATTGCAGAGCGGCGAAATAATTCGCGTTCATATTTTGCTTTGTTACTTATTCAGAATGTACGTCGAAATCAATCAACTTTAGTCGGGCGTCAATTAATCATAGCCAGGAATGCTACGAATGTATCGTCCACGTCCGTCGACAACACATATGTTTTCAATAAACATGCGCATTTTTTTAAATGCTAAAGGTGATAAAGACTGAGAAATATGAAAGGAAAACATAAATCTATTAATTTATGAGTTACACACATCCGAAATTTTAACATAATCGATCGTCCTATTATAATTATGAAATTAAACATGTGGTATCGACCTTTATGTTTATCAAAGCATTATGTAGCAATTACTTCATAACGTTTCGATTCCATTCATTACCATACATTTGACTAATTTTAATCTACTAACACATCTCAGTGTTTCTATCAAATACGTAAGCAAGAAGTTATACCATTTCATCGACGCATTATGAATTAATTCACGTAAAACGTACACTGCCTGAATCGTATCAGAAAAGATAAAAGCTTTTTCACTTTGAGTTCAGTTGGAAGTAATCAATAGCTTTGCATAATAATACGGAGTCATAACCTCCACGATCAACGACGAGCAATAATAATATTTTGATTACGGAAAATGGACGATTCAACAGAATTAAATCTATCCTTTTATCCCAAGTCTCAGTACTATGGATTCTGAAAAAGGAAAGAAATCATAGACCTAGTTTGGGACTTTAATGAATATTAGTGTATATAAAAGTAAAGTGAATATTAATAAGAAATTTCAATTTTGAAATGATTTTCATTTAAAAATTCTATTTTTTTAATATTTTCTGAATTATTAATATTCATGATGGCGATTTACATTGAGTGCTATGAAAAAGTTCCACGGGTACTTTTGTATTATAAATAGCGATATTAAAACAATTTACCAACGTAATATAGAACTGGAACATGTTTAAAAATTTTTCATAACTTATAGCTTCATATGGCGATTAAGGAAGTTTATTAATACCCAAAAGTCTAATCAAGTTGATAGTACTAATCAAATTTATCAGTGTAATTGTCATTTTTATTTATTTTATAATAAATTCCTAACACAAAGAAACCTTTGTGTCATAGAAATTAATCATAATTAATTATTCCAAAGACAATAGAAATGCGGTAACCCACATTGAATCTGTGAAATGGGATGCTTTCGTCTGATGATATTGTAAAGTCCAAAATGTAATTTACAAATAACCTACTTCTGCTATCGCACTAATGGATAGGAAGGGGATGTCCCACGGCCTTGTCTAGGACCGATATGAAGTGGAAGTACATACTTCCGCGTTTCGTTTGTGAAGTAGCCAGGAACTACTATTTAATGGTTGGTAATGCCTCTTCAAACCGTCAGTTGTTGTAAATGTCCCTGGACGGCGGCGATCACAGATCATCTGAAGTTAATATCCAACTGCCTACTCGCTTGACTAATTTTCATGTAAAAGTAATATGTAAACACTGTAATAGCTAGAAATCTTCACGTTACTTTAACATTTTAATTTATTTTAACATTTTTGGTTAGTCCTATGAAATATCCTTCCGAGTAAATAGCCTTTTGTGAACTCACCGGACATTGGCGAGAGTGTGGCGGCGGCTCTTGAGGTAGCGGCCATGGTACTTCTGCAGTTCGCCGATGCTGCCCTGCTCGGCCTGCATCTTGCCGTGCTGCGGTGGTGGCGGTGGTTCGTCGCCACCTTGCCCTGGGCCCCCAACCGCGCCGGAGCCACGCTTTCGTGCCTTATTGGATTTCCTGGCCGCTGCAGAAACGCATATCTTCACCGACGACGGGCTACCGAGGCTGCGCTTTTTTCCCGAGCTACGCGACGACGTGTAGGCGGTGTCCGTGCTACTTCTGGTGCTTTTATACGAGGGGGTTAGTGTTGCGTCGGTAGCGTCCTCCAGGGGCCAGTCGGAATCGTCCTCCTCCTCTATTCCGGGCAAGGGGGACTGTTGGCCTATAGGGCGCGGCGAGCTGATCACGGGTTCGGGGATAACTGCAAATGAAATGAACGTTTCAGTTTCTGATCTAAAATAAAGTAAATTCAAAACAGCCTATATATGACCCACTATTGGACAAAAGCTTCCTCTCAACACGAAATTTCAACAAACAATTTCATTGGAGCCAGCACCGGGATTTGCACTTAGGTTGCTAGACTATATTGAATTAAAAGCGTGCGCCCGTACACGGAGCTTTTTGTCTGTACGTGTGTGACCACTGATGTTCTCAGGACCCAGCACGTTAAAATTTATACCCTATAGTGAGGTATATAGTCTCTATTAGGTGTATAAAAATCGAGGTCCTGAGTCAACACCATAAAATAACATAGGCAAATTTCGTAAAAACTTGAAAGTTCCAAAATTGACCTTAATTTTCAATTCGGCGTACGAGTTCGACTCGCACTTGGCCGGTTTTCTTTATCTATCTTTCATATATTGCAAAGAATTACGAGCTAGTTACTGGTTACTGGTCTATCACGTTTAATTGTAAAATGGAAGCAAGGGAAAATTGACTTAAAAATAATGTATTCAATAAATGTTGCCATTCTTCGCAATAGAAACACAGTTTAAGTGACTTATATTATTATTTTTTTATGTGAGAAAGTGGCAAACGAGCTGACGGTTCACCTGATCTTAAGTGATTACCGCCGCCCATGGACTTTTACAACACCCGTAGGGTTGCAAATGCGTTGCCACTTTTAAATAAAGTAGGCCCTGGCTACCTCACCAGTCGAAACGCAGAAGTGTAAAACTTCTACTTTACGCCGGTCTTCTGTGAGGTCGTGGTACTTACCCGGACTTTACTGTACTTGCCCCTTTGTGCAACAGTGTTGCGTGGACCTACCACCGTAATTATGAAATCCTTTCTTCTAAACTACTTACATGTAATATCTCCTGCCCCTGTCCTACCTAGGTGGGGTCGGCAAAACATGTGAACCATGCACTAAATGTTATTGGCTAGGTTTATTTCATGACCGGCCGCCTGTCATGTCAACCTTATTTGGTCAAATACGGAATACATTATCTGTGATTCACACAAACACTTTTACCGTGTTGATACCGAACCCATGACATCGGCGCCCATGCCCATAGCTAACTATAGCAACTACTCCAACGAAATTAAATAACAAATTAAATTTAATATTAAATTTTAAACTAGAAATACAGCTAGTTTTCTTTCATATATTTATTGCACCTTAAAATAACCTAACAGAAGATACAGTCATTACGTGAATATTTTATGTTTTATGTTTTCTAAAAGAATACAACAAACACGTTTCTGTTTCACGATCATTTCATTTTGTAATGCTATAAACACGTTAATGGTCTACATTTAATAATTCTTATTATATAGATAGGGTTAACTTTATATATATTAAAGATTTAAAAGTCTTAAGGTTCTTTGGAGTACGAGAACGTTGAAGGAATTGATTCGGGCTCTTTATGATAATAGAATGCTAAAAACAGGTCAAGCTGCAGATAACCGTTTAAAAATCCTAAATGTAGATTTTTGTGTTAGTAATTTTGACTGTGAGCCCTCGTACCCTCAGAATTAAAGTACAAACTTTTAAAAAAAACTAGAGTATCAAAGTATAAAACAAAATCTTTGAACGGTTTTCCAGCTTAATGCGATGGAAATAAAATCAAATCCATAGAGGGAATAACAAACAACATCGTCGTGAAACGAAACAGCGTAAGTAACAGACCACTCAGAAGTAATCAACTGCGAAATTGGAGAGCCGGCCATAGCGACGCGTCGGCCTGTGTATGAAGTGTCTGTTTAATTATTTACGCTTAGATATTTTCTACGAAACTGTCAGCTGTTGAGGCTGAGGTAAAGGCATTGGACCGTGCAATCGCTAAAATGCTAATGTTTTACATAAACTGACTACAATTTTCTTTAGTACTAAAATAAAAATAAATATTAAGTTAGGTTTTTTAAAATTGTTAAGGTATAAAAACTACTTTTACACCTCGTTGCGAGGAAAAGCTTGTGCTTTAGAGACTTGTATAAAATCAGTATTAAAATTTATTAAGTGACAGTAAAATCCATCACGAACATTTTGCACGAAAAGCGCCATCCCACGAATGGAGTATTTTAAAGTATAAAATCGATGCAGACTTTAATGTTGCAGATAAGTACGACCGGGCACTGTTACACTTGTTTTATAAAACCAGCTTATGTATTTCATCGCTGAGGAAGAAAATTTTCATCAAAAAGCTTTGAAAATTGACAGCTTTCATTATTCGTTGCTGTATATGGCGACGGGCACTTAGGCTGTGGTTTAATCCCTACCTAAGGCTCAATACAAATAAAATCATGCAGTTTTAATGCCTTACGACTTCAAGCTTACCCTGAAGTCGAAACAATCTCAATCTGGCAGACTTTTATGCAACTGCTGGATTTAGCTGTAAATAACCTTCAACTAAAATAGACTTTATTTAAAACTATCTCAGACAGGTCTTGACTGTCATCTCCCATGAAATAACCCCTGAAATCTCGTAGTTGTTTTGAATAAAAGTGCGCACGTGCTCTAAAATTTTTCACTCTGGTTTTTACGAAATCTTGTAAGCATTTAATTCATCTCATATTTCACGGCATTAAAGTATTAGCTTAAAAGATGTCTTAAAATATGCAATCATATCTGTAAGTATGACGAATAAGCTCTTCTAAATTGATAATTTTCAAATTTTGACTTAACCTTCTTCAAACAATTAATTTACATATTAATTTCATTCCTGTTTCAACTACCACAATAGTGAGGCAGGTTTTATTTATAACGATAAAGTTAGAGAATTATTGATGAAGATGAAAAATTAAAAAAGAAAGAAGATTTAAAAAATAGTAAACCGTTTGGAGTAACAACGATATAAGTATTAAAATATGTAGAAAAAAATGTTCAATCTTAAGTGCAAAGATTAGCACTATAAACAATTCAAATTTCTAAAAAACGATATAAGTAATTTGAATAATTTAGGCTATAATTGAAAATCCTTAAGTCTTTATTTTATTAAATCTAAAAAAAATACGATCTTACTACACGAATACCGTTGTGTCAGGAAGGTAGCTGTCTTATTGATATTTTATAATTTGAACTCGACCCAAAATCTTAGTCACGTGGAATAGTGCCAATAAACGCCACAAACATACGATGAAATCTGTTGAACTGTTGTAATTGATATTATGAAAGGAGTTGAAAGCTAATTATGTTCGTTTGTCTAGAACATAATGAATGCTTAAAAGATTTATAAATGTTATGAAAGATGCCAATGTTTCCGAGTAAATTGCAATTTTTGTCCATCAACTTTCAGTTTCGTAGCATGAAACAAAAGAAAATCGAATAATATCCGTTATTCCAAAGAATGTTTCAAAACGTGCTTGTATTAATAAAAAGGCATAATTACCTAGTATTACATAATGAATATTAAACTGATATCAGTAGGCTGAGCGGTGACTGAAGCAGTTAAAAGATAACGTAATCTGTGCGAGCAGCGTGCATAAATAACTATCCTAAAAGGAATCCTTTCCGATAAAACTATCATATTCTGCTGGATCATTTATAAAGTTTATCGCATTCGAGATTAAAAATAAAAATAGTTAGTTCCTGGCATATCGACATAATTAGTATTTTACAATCGAATCTATCCTTAGTTAACACTATTCATCCATATTAATATTATAAATGTGAAAGTAACTCTGTCTGTCTGTCGCGCTATCACGCCAAAACTACTGAATCAATTTATAAGAATTTTGGTACACAGATAGTTTAGAGCCTGAGAAAGGACATAGGAGAATTTAACTGGAAAAAAAAATTTTTAGAAAGATATTTATTTAAGGGCTTCAACGCGAGCGAAGCCGCGGGCGAAAAGCTAGTTGTTAAATAAAAAAAATTTAATAACACTGAAGACGAAGTTCAAAATACGTTAAACATTGCTAAATACTTTAATTTAGAGCACTAACCATTTGTTAGTGTGCAAAAAACTTTTATACGCAAGCTTGTGTCTACATACATTTGTATTATGTATGTAGACACAAGCTTGCGTATAAAAGTTTTTCTGGGTTTGCGTCATATGAAAATACTCATGTTTTGCAATAAACATGCAATAAACATACTCATGTTTGCTGTAAACAAAATATTTTTCTAAAATAACTTTTAACGTTTAAAGTTTAATCTTTTTGGTTTTACAGAAACAATGTTTACCCATTTGTAACATTCTTCTATTGACAAAATATTGTTATCTTTTGATAGACAACTGAGGAATAGCTGCTGCCCGCGACTACGTCTGCGTAAATTGGCTAACATTCAGACAGAAAGACAGATGATATACATAAAATATGTATAAAAATTAAAGCCTTATTCTGCTTGATGTATGAGCTATATTATTGTAAAGTTTCATTAAAATCCATTCAGTAGTATTTGGGTGAAATAGTAACAAACATCCGTCCATACATACAAACTTTCGCCTTTATAATATTATTAAGCATTGGCGCTGCAAAGGCACATACGTGTAAGCACATCCCTACATCAGCACGGCGTAGACGAAAATAGAATACCATATCGATTTATGTATTCAGAAGAATAACAATACAATACGTTCGCATTGTTTGTTAGTGTTATAAGATAGTCATCCATAACAGGAACTGAAGGTCGTTACGCTGTACACTAAAATCGGCCGCGTGGTTATCAGCTAGCCAACCAAGTGATGACCAGCTTGGTTATCGAAGAAGGGCGATATGTGCATCACTTATTAGTAATGGACATCTAATTTCTGGTACGCCATGCCAATGCATCTTGCTCTTAGGCACACCCGTATATATTGTTTTCGAAATACAAAAGTAGTTGCGTCGAGGGAAAGATTGTTGATGCAACTTAAAAGCTACCTTAATTATTTCATAAATCATATTACTCAATTTTACAATATTAAACAACTCATAATAATAATAGCCTGTTTTCGGTACACAAACGGCAGCATCTTTTTTTAAGTTATTGAAGATACGGAGATATTTAAAACTGACTAGATAGTATTTGGTACATTTACTATACTCTGTCCATGGATATCCGATTTAATGGCATTGTATATGTGAATTTGACTCGTGCTTTTTTCCCCTTCAGAATGGTGTAGATTTTGCTTATGCAAAGTTTGTAGCAAGAGCACTATCGTTGAGGAATATAGACGCAATTGCTTTCAGGCAACAAGCGACAATATCCGGCACCAGTAGCGTTAGTATCGATCTAAATAGCAATACCGTTTTAAAAAGTCATTAGTAGCGAATAAAAATTTCTACTGACAACAAGCAACGTTCATTTTGACTTTTAGAATTATATTTCCTTCAATAAATTACCTGCTTACTATCCATTGGATAAACTATATTTTATTTAATTTCTAAATCAAACTATTCAATAGAAAGGAAAAAGAAACTGTTTTATAAATGTGTATTATGAACTTTATCCCGGTTCCACGAATGCTGCAAATTATTTAGGCCGTCGGAAATTGAAGTTAAATAAAAACAAGATAAAATCAAATTAGATAAATTTTAATTAGTTAAAAAGCAACTTAAATGTTAAACTTTTGCTTAACTAAACTTATGGAAACGTACCCACTTGTGAAAGAATTGCAAGTTAGAAAAGCATGTCTCAAGTATGGCTAAAATTAATTACTCGCACAAACATTATATATTAAGTTTAATTACAAATTCTCAGAGAGCAAGAAATTAAAACTCCTTCAACACATATTTTACTATTTGTTATGTGCATTGGTCAAATGTAACATTGTTGCCAAGTAAAGGTATTTGCGTAACAGTAGTGATTTTCAAATTATTCCCGGAACGTCTACAGCTCTTTGAACCGTACAAAGAAAGTATACAATTCAACAAGGCAATACGTATTCTCAAAATAATTCGACTTTAATTGAAAAAGATTAAATAAAAATAAAATATTTAATGTGCTATTGATAAAAACTACATTGGATCGTATTAAAAAATACCGATATTTGGTTTAGACTTTAAATTATGAAAAGTTGCATTTATATGTATTAATTGCTTAATAAATATACATGATATCTGTGATGTTACAGGACAAATTAACCCTATAAATTTACCAAGTTACATGACAGTCACCTACTTATCATTTCTGGACGGTTCCAGATTTTATTTTTTAATTATTTGCCCGCGGCAACTGACCGTAGGAAAGAATAATCGCTGAAATCACCATACATGCATGTAATACAGCATAGGCGTGGTTTTGTGGTGTGTGGCCGGCCATTTAAAATTGTTTACATACACTAGCAGGTTCTCAGTTACATACACGCTACGCCTAATGGTCACTAAGGTCGTATACACTTATAGAGGCAATTTAAATACATCGAATACTATTAGCAACTAAACGACTGCTGATAAACAATTTAAACGAATATAACCAAATCAACAAAGTAAGAATATGTATGTGTTCAATACATACATATTCTAATGTTTGCTATTGTAATATGAGTTCGAATGAAACATTTTGCAATCAGCTTTCGCGATAAGACAGAGGCATTAATTTGTATTTCCTCCTTAATCCAATAGGTAAAGATCAAAGGATCCTTCTAATATAGAATGAGAAACTGTTTGTATTGGATCACGACTAGGCAAACAATTACAATGTATAATGTAATCAATTTAAAGTAATGTATTCCTTAAGAATGACTTATTTTTTTTCAATGATTTCAAATCGAAATCCAGTATTACATTTAAACAAAATAAGGACCGGCTAGATAATTATCATCTTAAAACTAATATAAAAGTTAAGACTTTCTCTATTTTTTAATGTTGGCTTTTAGTCAATATTTTATCAAATCTACCTCATTTAAAATACAAAACTTATATTCGAAATTATGCGACATATCCCTACTCAGAAAATGTAAATTTTACATATTCTCGAGGTACCGTCTTCTGTCAATTATGTACAGTCGACAACATACCTCCACTCTTATAATCCGATGGGGAAATATTTTTACGAAGGATGGCGATAAAACGCTCTTTTGTCACTATCCTTCATAAACCTCTCGTTAAGTTATTACCGCATCCCATAGACAATGTACATCACTTATTATAACCGAATTGATATTTTAACCAATGGTACTTCCTCGGACGAGCCGGCTGAATCGTGTATCAGCAGAAACTGCTGAGTGACTCTTGGGGAATGTTGGCGCTGACAACACTGTTTACCGGATATGACGTTATCTACTCGAGCTAAGGGACACATGGGCGCATGGAGCGGTGGTCACTTGGATTTCGACTGCGTTCCCGGACGGTGATATAACCACTATTGCTGCTTGTCGTTATAATAGTTGTTAATACTCAAGTTCAGTAATAGTTAAAAGATTAGGATCAAGGTAAAAACGTTAGAACTCTTATAGGAAATTGGGTGATTTTAAACTTGGAAAGTAAAGCTTATCGGATGACTTGATGGCGCCATTGCTAAGCTATTTGCTTCGGCGTCGGGGGTTGATGGTTCGATTCCCACACCGGACAAGTATTTGTGTGAACCACAAATAATTTTTCCGGATCTGGGTGTTTGTTTCCCAAGAAGGGTTGACGTCAGGCAGGCGGCTGGTCGTAAAAAGCATAGCCAAACCCGCTTACAATATGATTCACATGTTTTGCCGACCCCACCTAGGTGGAATAAGGGCAGATGATGAAGAGTTAGGCTTACCGTATTCCTCGTGGGAGAGCTGCGGGCTGCCCTCCCTCAGGGCATAGTCGGCCTCGTCAACGGGCGCCGCCGCGCGCGCCCCGCACCAGGGCACGCAGCAACGGAACACCCCGCCTCCAACCACCGTGGGGCCTTGCCCTTGCCGCTATCCAAAGCGCTCGTGCCCTCGCCCGAAGCACAATCACCACGATAGTCCAAGCTATCCCCCTCGGACGGCACCGCGAACACCATTAGCAAAGTTCACTTCACTTTGTAATCACTCTTAAAGCAACAGCAACGAAAAAAAGTCTCTTCTGACACAAAGATACGAGAACATTCGGTCGTGATGAGTATCAACAGGAAAGTCCTAATTCAGTCTTGAAAGTTATGAATGGTTTGATATCGATATAAAACTCCGATTTTGTGGCTTCGAAGACGCCTTTCTAGAGATTTATTATTAAGACACAGTGGAATAGAATAATGCACTAAAATGTTTTTTCAATTTCAAAATAGATTAATTATCTCACTTTTATTTGACTCGCCTTTAATTATATAACGGTAAATCTGTTTTTAGGAAAATTATGCTTTCGGTTCACTGATAGGTCTTTAAGTAAATATTTTGAATATAAAAGGAACTTTTCAAGCCTAACAAGCCAGTTTTTACATATATATTCAGTTTGTACAGAAAATCATCTGAATGAAAAGTACTGCTTTGAATCAGATGCACTCATGAGACATGTCAACGGCTGCCATCATCGAAACATTTCGAGGGAGCTACTAATAAAATGATCCGTGAGAATTTTTGGCCCATACTCAATTAAATACACTATGATTTCTCCGGATTTATTAATTTCGCGACAGTACACGCCAACCATTGACATTGCGTTTGAATAAGATTCGTAATAAATGAATGTTGACAATAATTATAATTTAATAAGTTCTCAAATATCAACATAATTAATATAATAGATTTACGATGGACATTCGTCATTATCGTGATCTATTTCTATGAAAGTAATTAAATGTGTTTCTCGACCGACTCAATGAATGAAAAGCAGCGGAATATTTCACTTCTTCGTAAACAGCAATACATACCTACGACTGATGTCAAATGCGAGAGTATCTTTGAGATAGAAATATTTTTGGATAATATTTAAACGTTATAATCTCCTAAAATTTATTGCTACGGCAAGTGCCTACTTCCTCCGACTTATTTCATCGCAAAGTAATGACACTTTATTTTATTTAATGCTGTGATAAATACAATTCTGAATGAATTTATTATAGTAGCAATTTATCCGATTTGTTTCAAGTTATTGCAACATACATACATATATCATTTTATATATACATATCTTGTAAAGATGCTTTAAACATTTATCCCAAGTATTATTTTTTCGTATAAAATATTTTTTGTACCGTTGTCCTTTTCTTTTAAAATACGATAAGTTTATATTTATACATTAATTCCAAAATCACTTTTGTTATTACTTTTTCTTAAACACTGAAATAAAAATTTCAAAAAGTTGAGGGAAATAGAAAAATTGCGATACGCCTAGGGATCAATTCGATAATGCACCGAACGTGGCCTCAATATCATTATTGTAAATATACTGAACACGCCCAAACAGGCAATGGCTATTGGCAGTACGTAAGTCGGTGCAATGAACAATGTAATTGGGTGAATCGACGTATAGTAGCCTCTGCATGAATTGACAGCTAGTACCAATAACCAGTCATCATGACTGAAACACATCCAATTACTTCTTGTTGAGCGGTCACATGGCTCAATTGCGTTGTCGTTTCTGTTGCTATCATCGCTAACTGGATAATGGTGGCCTCGTATTAGAATTAATATTTCTGCAAAAAGCGTTTCTGAGTGCCGAAAACCTCCGGTATGTGGACACTTCTATTTCAATTCTCACATTTGCGTAGCTCACGCAATTCGTTGACACTAACGTTGCATGACGTAAAGATTCACGTGAATATTACACAAAAAAACGAACTGTACATTATAAAAGTCATCGTAAAAGTTTGTAGCGGTTAGATGCCATCCGCTAATGGCTGCATCTATTTTTAATCTACATACACACTACCTATAGCTGAGATAAAATTAAACGTTGTTTTTATATCTTATCTCAGATGTAGTAACATAATCACTGTCATTTGTAACGATTTTATGTTATTTTTATACTCCCCATGAACACGTCCGTGGAATGACAATATTTTTGCTGTGACAATATACTAGAGTACTTTTGAATGATTTTATCGCTTACGTAAATAGGAAGATTGTATCATATTTGTATAGTTACTTGTTTGGGTTGTGATGTTCGTGTTTGCAAACATTCAACAAGTACCCAATAAACTATAAAATCGATAGTGGCATTTAAGATACTAATGTCGATGATTTTTATAGCGTTATATTTAAGTGTTGCAAAAACAATCAATACAATGTTATTTATATGCCCGGTATAACTTATGCATAGGTCGTTGCGCAATTGAATTTTGTTAGGAGGAACGTGTTTACTGTTGAAAAATTTCTATCTAAAAGTGACGATCTGAAGTGTTACGATACTCATCGCAATAGCTAAACCTCTATTAGGAAATTAAAAAAAACTGTTCGCATCAGCACACGCGAACTGGAAACATCAGTGAATCGACAGCATACTTTACGATTTCGCTTTACAAACACATCACATGAGCGCGTCCACCAAACCGCGCGGATGTGGACTTAGGGCTCTCTGTTCCACAGTGGCGTGTTAATACGAAACGATGCTCCAGTAACACAGTGCACTAGATAGCGGCGTACCGCGACCAAGTGGGATGACGAGACGAGATGGGCCGCGGTCCGATACGAAGAGGCGCGGGGCCTACGCGAGGCGCGCGGCGCCGCGGACTTCCAGCGGTGCACCACACATCAACAGAGTCCACATGGCACGAGATTAGACAGCGGAGCGTTTGGCGGCCTGACGGAACGGCCCTAAGCGTCGCGACGGCCGGCGGACCGCGACTGGAGCGTCGCTGCGCGTCGCAGCCTAGGGCGGAGAGAGAGCGGGACGCAGATAGCGCCCCGCTCCGCGCGCTACCCACGATTCTAGCCCTTGAACCTTCCCTCTTAATTCCCATTTACCTTGCCCAAAGCCCGGCTCTTGTGTTTTTGCGCGACTGCCAAAGGGTTTTCACCCCGCGGAGCGTTCATTCCCATGAACGCTGTTACGTGGATAGAGATGCTGTGCGGCTTTTCTTACGGGCTGTTTCGGCGTTATATCACTATTGAACGCGTCTCTAATTTATTGTCTGTGCACAATATACAACTGTAAATTATCTATCAAATTTTAAAGAAAAACCTTTAAAGAAAGCCCTTGAAAAGTCATGTGCACGATGATAGTACATCTTTATATATTTGCATCGTTAAAGTAGAATCAAAACAAACGACATTGGAACTCTTGCAGCTAGCTGCATTTTTAACTTCCCGGACTTTGAGTGTGTAATTTTAACAAAAACATTTCCTTTTACTTTGTTAAAAGTTTTGACGTAATACCTTAAATACAAAGAATAACCCTGACGGTGGGCCAAGTTTAGTTTACACAAACTCATATAAACCAGTTATTAGCCTGCTGGTAATTAAAAATGCAAATACCTATGAGTTTATATATGTATGTATATTAGAAAAGGAAGTAATTTCAGATCAACGTTTCATAAAAAAACTAAAATATGTAAACATGACTGAAAAAATTTTGTTAATCATTCATGATTCGATAAAATGTTTAGTTCTATATATGTCAAGGCGGTTACAAAGCAATGTATCAAAGGCAGCGCAGCGGAGTGTGGCACTTATTGTAGCGTCAATTTGCACGCCAAATCGATCACTATTTATAACTGTGCAGACAGGACTGGGCATCTGTTCTAAAACGAAAATGCTCTATGTTCTATCGGTTTTCTTGATGATAGTCCATAAAAAGCTACGGTAAACAAACGGTTAGTAGTGCGGTAAAATCCTATTCACGACCTACTCGTGCGTCATTACGAATACTTAAACAAGGTGAGATTCTAGAAGGACAACCCTGGGCTGAAGTTGGTAGTGGATGCAAAAGAAAATTTATATTTACGAGAATCCATAGGTTATAGTGGGTATGAATTATATGGATATATTATATTCCACGATGCTTAAACATAATCCAATATCTGTTTTAAATTAGGTCAACATGACTCAGATTTATCAGGTTTTATATATTTTCTGTATTCAAATAATGTATTTTATTCGCATGTTGTTCTTGAAAATAACAATGATGAATAAAATATCACAATGTATAAGTATGTGTAAAGAACATTTATATAAAATGTACTTCTTTTTTGTTTTCTTTTCATATTTAAAATTATATTTCGGGTATTTTGTTTTGCATCTACGGCAAATTTCCACTACTTCTAGGGTTGACTGGAAGAGAATGCTTATAAGAATTTAGTTTTGCCTTTTGTTGAGCATTATGTTGGAGAATCAACAATAAAATTTTGAATAAAAATACAAAATGCCCGTCCGAAAACCTATTCATCATGGTCATATACATGAATATGAATTTCTAGGCAAAACGCAAAAATTCGGGTCGATCGATCAGTATACTCATGTAACAAATAAACTTTATTAAGACTGATTTTATTTTCTCTGCTTCAACTGGATTAAAATCACAACCGTAGACGAAATTTTTAAATAACATGTATTTTTCCAAATGTTATCCGTTGCGTGGTAGCAGCTGTGCAACAACTCGTCCAGGGAAGTACCACAGCATCGCAGAAAACCTTCAAGTGAGAAAGACTTCAAGTGGTGGTAAGCTATTATACTTTCGCGAGTGAGGTAACCGGGGTCCACTTTTTCCGGGTTGTTAACGCATCTGCAAGCATGCAGCTTGCTGTAGATATCCATGGACGTATCCACTTAACATCAAGTGGACCGCCTGCTCCCCTGATAACTAACTTTTACTTTTACTTATATAAAAAAACATGCGTAGTTAAATCATTGGCCAATTTTATTAAATTAATCTAAAATGCTGACATATCCCAAGGACAAAGATGCTTGAATTATCGGACTCACAAATTGCGTATTTCAGAAGTTGAGCTCAGCTACGTCGTGCAAATTGGAATAGGAACAGGCGACCGACGGCTTTACTCGCGGCATTTGCGCAGCAGTTCTCGTTCAGGACGAAATGTAAAATTTCAAATGAACCCACAGTATTTTCATATCATCAAGCTTTGTGAAAAAAAAGCTTTGGCCGAATAAATAAACGTAACATAGGTACATACATAGTGTAAGTAATTCAGATTCTTAAAAGGAAACTGAATAGTCCTTGACTTCTATTCCATTTTTTGGTAAACGCTCTAGCTTAGAAGAATTATTCTCAAAAATAAGTGCACGAAATACCTTGTTGTTTGAAAATGTTTCAATTTTTTATCTCTACACTTTGATGCTTTCTTTCCACTTGATCATAAAGTTTTAAGAGGATAGAAAAAGTATTTCAAAATAAAACTTAATAATTTATTAGATAAAAAGTACTATGTGTTATTCGATAACACTTTTCACTGATTTTTCGTTTATATCTTCAAACATAATCATATATATGAAAAAGTTAAGTAAAAATCGTAATAATTTAAAGTTTGATGGGTCGTTTAAACTTACTAATTAAGAAACAAAAATGTGTATTAATTATTAAGTACTGTTAAATCTTGAATCTTTCCTATACTCGCAACTTTAAGTTGACGAACGCAAAATATAATGACATTTAGCCCACCATTAAAGACTAATATACTGGCAACTTCTGTTACTTTTACACATAATAAAGTTGTTTCCTTTTTTTTCATTGCAACGAGGAATATTGCAATGATTTTTACAACATCTACGTCTTTTAAAATATGTAATTCATGTCGTGGGTTTATATTTCGAGATGTTTACTAGTCATATAATATTTCATATTTTATTAATTTAGTTCTATTAATAACATTGAGAATCCAATAATCCTTTGCAGTTTTTTAAACGCTTGCCAATCGAGTGAAAATTCTTGATTATTTTCACGTGTCAGCGTGATTTGTGTTTTGACCTATTACAATATAACATTACATATAAAATATAACATTACAAAGCGGAATATAATATAAACTTAATATATTTTTATCAATTATTCTGTAACATTTTTCATTTTAAAAATTTAGGTACTACGGAATACCTATGTTTTGAGAAAATTTTTAGACTGAAATTTATAATTCACCTTAAATAAACGCCAAAACACGCTCATATTCAATTGAACGTTATGATGCCCTTAAAATGTTGCCTCGGGCGATATTTATGATCCGACGAATATATTATTTATAAACTCGTATCTGAATAATAATCAGCTTAGTCTAGAATTCCATAAAATGTTTCTTTTATTTTTACTGATATATCTGTAATAACTAAAAAAATGGCATAACATGGACTGTATTCTGCATGTTGAATATACTAAACACTTTTTTTTTTTTTCAAAACTTTAATTATGTCTGTTCAATTGTAATGTGTGCTATTATATATTAAAATTATTTGAGATATATATAAATAGAATTATATGAGAGCAAAACTTTTGTTTTATAAATAAAATACTTTTGTCAAAAAGAAATTGTTCACGCTACGCAGTTTACTTTGGCAATCGTGCGTGGTATATAACTGTCACACCTGTGCATCCTGACACCGCGTATAAATAACAGGCCGCCGTGTTTTATGATATGACTACGTTTATTTTTGAAAACATACCGAGATTATTGTTTCTGGCATGGTAAAAGACAGATCTTTGAGAAACATATCAACTAATATCATTTGTCTGAAAATTTGCATGATATTACATTACTTTCCCAAACAACAAAATTTTTGCTCCTATCAGCGTATTAAAGTATTGACGGTACATGCATTTTCACTATTTTGAAATCCAGCCTAATATAGCTTTTATCTATTATATTACATAGTTTGAAATATACGCGAGAATTGATACGTGATAATTTTTTGTACTCCACTTGCTTCTCTCCAGTACCTGACCTAATCCTTAGCTTTCCTATTATGAACGCCCTCCATTTATCGCCACTTCAATGTGTCATATGGCTTCCTTCACTCAACAATCATTCTCATCTAATTGCTTCCGCGTCTTGTTAGTTGATATAAGAATATTACACAATATAAGTTTGTTTCCAACTGTGTTGGTATATTACGTTAATCGTATACCAACATAGTAACTATATTCGTAACTTTAATTCTCATCTACTTCTTATCGGTAACAGATTTTTACTGTTTTAGGGCCATAAAGCAGCTTCTTCTGTTGCTCGAATGGGCAGTCTCTGCCATTCTTCATACCCTCCCCGGTCAGAACGTGGTGAGCGGAGGGTCAGATCCACTGCTGGGAGCTTGCTGTTTGTTAGCACTAACTCACCTGGCTCCCATAGCCTCTGATGGTCCACCAGCACGGTAACGGATGTGTACGATAGCTTTATCGTGACCCTGTGGAGGTTTTAGTCGCCTGGAGTTGACATAACCTCCCCTTGATTTCGTGGGGAGCGGGCATGACCATTGAATAATTTAAATAAGGTATAATAAAAAATAACAAAAATGTTTGCTTCAAGAATTTTATCAAAAAGCGTTTTTTGCCGACTTGTTGAAATATGCTCAACCCCAGACTCATTCACCACCTTCGTAAATACTTAATGTAAATGAGCGCAATGTTTTTTGTCCTACTTTTATGATTTAATCTTAAACCTAGAATTAGCGATGTCTCCACTTTTTCAACTTTTTAATTATTATTTTAAATTAAAATATCACAGAGTTTTACTGAAATATAGTATATACAACACGATAAAACATGAACTTTGAAAAGAGAACTTATTATATAATATACTCTTGCATTTTCTCGTATTAAATTTCCTCGTGTTAAATAGCCTATAATAAAAACAAACAAACAGCAACTATCATGACATTGTGTTGGTATATGTAAAGAAGGTATTAAACGTGTAAATACGAAACATAATTAGATTTTGGACAAATAGGTACATTCGTTACTTGAAAATATTATCGCTTCACTTACCAACCTTACTTATTCAGTGACATACCTGTAACAAAATCA